TTAACAATAAACTGTCTATGCAGATAAGGGGGGTATGTTGATAAAAACAAATTATGCAGCTTTGACTAAAGCTGAATAATGCCCTTGCCACAGGTGTTAACCATTTACATACCTCATGAAATGTGACTGGAAAACTCCAAGAACATTGCTAGGACATTGCAAAGAGAGGCCCAGCTCTTACTGTCCACCTCCACCATCACAGAATTAAGTTCTCAAATGCTGTCTCTCAATGCTCAGAAAGAATATCCATTAACATTTACCACTATATGAAGACCCAGTTTCACCTGGATTCGATAAGTAGTACATGCATACAGTCATGGCCAAAAATATTGGCATTTCTGTCAGATAATGCACCACTTCGCCCAGAAATTTGTTGCAATTATAAATGTTTAGGCATTCTCTTTTGTTTGTATTGGTATGATACAAAAAAGTGGAGAAACAAAAAGCCAAATCTGACACATTCAATGCAAAACCCCAAAAATGCACTGGACAAAATTATTGGCACCCTCAAATAATATTTGGTAGCACACCACTCTCTACTGGAATTTTGCACCACTCTTCTTTTACCAACTGCTCCGGGTCTCTCAGATTGAAAGGGTTTCTTTTCCCAACTGCTGTTTTTAGATCTCTCCACAGCAGCTCTCTGAAATTGACATTTGGACTCATTGCTGTCCAGTTCAGTACTCTCCAGCGCTTTGTCCTAAACCATTTATGGGTGCTTTTTGACGTGTGCTTTGGGTCATTGTCCTGCTGAAAGACCCATGATCTCTGACGGAGACCCAACTTTCTGACACTGGGCCTTTCATTGCACCCCAGAATTCTTTGGTAGTCTTCAGATTTCATAATGCCAGTCACACAGTCAAGACATCAGTGAACCTCCACCATGTTTGACTGTAGAGACTGTATTCTTTTCTTTAAAGGCCTCATTTCTTTTTCTGAAACCAGTAGAATTATGGGCTTTACCAAGAAGCTGTAAATTTGTTTTGTCTGTCCACAGCACATTATCCCAAAAGGATTTTGGCTTCCTCAGGTAAGTTTTGGCAAACTTCAATCTGGCTTTTTATGTCATTTGTGTCAGCAGTGGGGTCCTCCTGGGTCTTTTATCAGTCCCTTTTCATTCAGATGGCAACGTATGGTGCAAGCTGACGCAGTTGTACCCTGTGCCCGAAGTTCAGCTTGAATTTGTCTGTAAGTTGATTGAGGCTCTTTAGCCACTATTCGAACAATCCTTTGTTGAAATCTACAGTGCCATGGGCTGTAAACTTTTTGACAATGTTGTTCACAGTACGCACAGTACACACAGGAACATCAAATTTTCTGGAGATGGACTTGCGATTGTCCATGGTTTTCTACAATTTTTTAAAAATCCTCAAACAATTTGTTTCTGCTCTTTCTCTTTTACATGCTCCATGTGGCACAACCAAATTACAGTGACAAATAAATACTGTACTGTATATATGTATATAATTTTTATTGATTTTATTGTGTCTATCTTGTTCTTTTTTTCTAGTGATACATGCTGTGTTTAGCAAAAACTTGAATACATAGATAAAAAGGGGTGTATAGATTATCTAATTTCTCACCCTCCAGCTACCACTTAAAGCTAATTTAACAAGTGCGAGTCTGCACAAATTTCAAATGTAATTTTCACACCAACAAAAAAAACAAAAATAGAAAATTAACCACTTGACGACCGACCGGGCTAGTTGAATGATGGCTACAGTGCGGACGTCTAGTTCTGGGAGGGTGTCATATGATGTCCTCCAAAACCTGCGCCTCTGGCGCACTCTGTAATCGCTGTGTCCTTTAGACACAGCTGATCACATGACATGGTAAAGGGGGCCAATCACAGCGCCTTTTTACCACGTGATCAGCTGTGTCCAATGCAACAGCTGATTACAGTGTAAATACAGTTGACGATTATTAGCTGCACTTTCCTCACGCTGTCACAGCGTGAGGACAGAGGAGAGCTGGTAATCGGCAAGCGTATTTACATATCCATCAGTGCAGTCCAAGAAGTGTCCATCTGTGCTGGCAGTCAGTGTCTATCAGTGCCGCCAGTGTCCATCAGTGCAGCCAGTCAGTGTCTGTCAGTGTCCATCAGTGCTGCCAGTGAGTGTCCCATCAGTGCCGCTAGTCAGTGCCCATCAGTGCTGCTAGTCAGTCTCATCTATCAGTGACCTTCAGTGCCACCTATCAGTGCAGCCTATTAGTGCCCAGCAGTGCCACATATCAGTGCAGCCTTATTGGTGCCTCCTCGTCAGTGAAGCCTCATCAGTGCCGCTACATCAGTACCCATCAGTGCTGCATATTAGTGCCCATCAGTGTAGCCTCATCAGAACACATCAGTGAAGGAGAAAAATTACCTGTTTGCAAAATTTTAAAACAGAAACTAAGAACTAAAACATTCATATTCAAAATTGTTGGTCTTTTTTGGTTTGTTTAGCAAAAAATATAAAACCCAGTGGTGAGTAAATACCACCAAAAGAAAGCTTTATATGTCTCAAAAAATGAGAAAATTTTAGTTGGGTACAGTATTCCATGACTGCGCAATAGTCATTCAAAGTGCAACAGCACTGAAAGCTGAAAATTGGCCTGGGCAGGAAGGGGTGAGAGTGCCCTGTAGGCAAGTGGTTAAACAGAATTAAGAAAAATGCTGAAGATGCCTTAAACATGTTTATATTAGTAGAAAAATAGCATTTTGGTAAGAAAACAGCAACGTGCTATGAGAAGAACCTCTAGAAAGAAATTAATATGTATCGTTATCACTTCTCAAAATAGTTGAAAGATAAAATCTGAATATTACAGGAATGGGACTGAAAATATATAGCATTCATTTTCCACAGTTTGTGAAATCAATAGTAGCTATGCTGCACCAGACATCCAGGAGTCTCGCCCGTCCACCTGCCACTCCAACATGTTTCACCCCACAAAGGGCTTAACCATGGAGAGCTCTCAATGATTAAAGGATAAGTTCTCCTTAGGTAGCATGTAACATGTTCCCAGTGCTGCTGCCGCTACCCTATTCCCTACCCCCCCCCCTTGTGACAGTAGTGGTACAGGGAGAAGTTCCCCGTACTGGCTGCCCCTTTTTAAAAGGGACTGTTCTATTTGCACTGTTCTGTGAATGAATGAACTACAAGTCCCAACAGCCTTAGCAGCTGTTGGCTTGTAGGGCTTAATGAACTACCATGGTGCTATGGAGCACCATGGTAGTTCATTGAAACCTCCTGTCAGTATATCTGCTTGTACATCTTATACGGGCAAGCAAATATACTGACAGGTCTGCAGGCGACCTGCATGACACCAGTGATCTGCTGATCACTGATGCAATGCTTTATAAGCTCCTGCATCCAAAAATAATAAATGCACGTTTTTATTACCTGCAACAAAATGTGCATTTATTCTTTTTGGTAAAAAGTAGAGATGAGCGAATCGAACTTGGCGAAGTGGAATTCGTTTCGAATTCGGATGCGCGAATCGAAATTTTTCCAAAAATGGCGGCGACATGTGTGGCGACGGAGCGGGGATCTCTGGGAAGGCGCGCAGACAAGGCGCGCTGACCCATAATGCATTCATTCATGACATGTGATCGCATTAGCCAATCAGCAGCCAGCACTGTGTAATGGTGGAGCTATAAATTGCGGCCATCTTACAATTCTCCATTTGCCTCCGGTCATTCAAGAGAGACAGAACCTCTCTGTATTAGGGACAGAGTTAGGGCGACAGATACTTTAGGGACACAGAATCGTTACTTAGGGACACAGAATTGTTACTCAGGGACACAGAATTCTTACTCAGGGACACAGAACTGTTACTCAGGGACACAGAATTGTTACTCAGGGACAGACACAGAATTGTTACTGAGGGACACAGAATTGTTACTGAGGGAGACACAGAATTGTTACTCAGGGACACAGAACTGTTACTCAGGGACACAGAACTGTTACTCAGGGACACAGAACTGTTACTTAGGGACACAGAACTGTTACTCAGGGACAGACACAGAATTGTTACTGAGGGACACAGAATTGTTACTGAGGGACACAGAATTGTTACTCAGGGACAGACACAGAATTGTTACTGAGGGACACAGAACTGTTACTCAGGGACACAGAACTGTTACTCAGGGACACAGAATTGTTACTCAGGGACAGACACAGAATTGTTACTGAGGGACACAGAATTGTTACTGAGGGACACAGAATTGTTACTCAGGGACAGACACAGAATTGTTACTGAGGGACACAGAATTGTTACTGAGGGACACAGAATTGTTACTGAGGGACACAGAATTGTTACTCAGGGACACAGAATTGTTACTCAGGGACACAGAATTGTTACTTAGGGACACAGAATTGTTACTCAGGGACACAGAACTGTTACTCAGGGAAACAGAATTGTTACTCAGGGACACAGAACTGTTACTCAGGGACACAGAATTGTTACTCAGGGAAGACACAGAATTGTTACTCAGGGACAGACACAGAATTGTTACTGAGGGACACAGAATTGTTACTGAGGGACACAGAATTGTTACTCAGGGACACAGAATTGTTACTCAGGGAAACAGAACTGTTACTCAGGGACACAGAATTGTTACTCAGGGACAGACACAGAATTGTTACTGAGGGACACAGAATTGTTACTGAGGGACACAGAATTGTTACTGAGGGACACAGAATTGTTACTGAGGGACACAGAAGTGTTACTCAGGGACAGACACAGAATTGTTACTGAGGGACACAGAATTGTTACTGAGGGACACAGAATTGTTACTCAGGGACACAGAATTGTTACTCAGGGACACAGAACTGTTACTCAGGGACACAGAATTGTTACTCAGGGACAGACAGAATTGTTACTGAGGGACACAGAATTGTTACTGAGTGACATAGAATTGTTACTCAGGGACACAGAATTGTTACTGAGGGACACAGAATTGTTATTGAGGGACACAGAATTGTTACAGGGACACAGAATTGTTACTCAGGGACACAGAATTGTTACTCAGGGACACAGAACTGTTACTCAGGGACACAGAATTGTTACTCAGGGACAGACACAGAATTGTTACTGAGGGACACAGAATTGTTACTGAGGGACACAGAATTGTTACTGGGGGACACAGAATTGTTACTCAGGGACACAGAATTGTTACTGGGGGACACAGAATTGTTACTCAGGGACACAGAACTGTTACTCAGGGACACAGAATTGTTACTCAGGGACACAGAACTGTTACTCAGGGACACAGAATTGTTACTGAGGGACAGACACAGAATTGTTACTGAGGGACACAGAATTGTTACTGAGGGACACAGAATTGTTATTCTGAGGGACACAGAATTGTTACTCAGGGACACAGAATTGTTACTCAGGGACACAAAATGTGTTACTCAGGGACACAGAATTGTTACTCAGGACACAGAATGTTACTCAGGGACACAGAATTGTTACTCAGGGACAGACACAGAATTGTTACTGAGGGACACAGAATTGTTACTCAGGGACAGACACAGAATTGTTACTGAGGGACACAGAATTGTTACTGAGGGACACAGAATTGTTACTCAGGGACACAGAATTGTTACTCAGGGACACAGAACTGTTACTCAGGGACACAGAATGTTACTCATGGACACAGAATTGTTACTCAGGGACACAGAACTGTTATTCAGGGACACAGAATTGTTACTCAGGGACAGACACAGAATTGTTACTGAGGGACACAGAATTGTTACTGAGGGGACACAGAATTGTTACTGAGGGGACACAGAATTGTTACTCAGGGACAGACACAGAATTGTTACTGAGGGACACAGAATTGTTACTCAGGGACACAGAATTGTTACTGAGGGACACAGAATTGTTACTCAGGGACACAGAATTGTTACTCAGGGACACAGAACTGTTACTCAGGGACACAGAATTGTTACTCAGGGACACAGAATTGTTACTCAGGGACACAGAACTGTTACTCAGGGACACAGAATTGTTACTCAGGGACACAGAATGTTACTCAGGGACACAGAATTGTTACTCAGGGACAGACACAGAATTGTTACTGAGGGACACAGAATTGTTACTGAGGGACACAGAATTGTTACTACTGAGGGACACAGAATTGTTACTCAGGGACACATAATTGTTACTCAGGGACACAGAATTGTTACTCAGGGACACAGAATTGTTACTCAGGGACAGACACAGAACTGTTACTCAGGGACACAGAATCGTTACTCAGGGACACAGAATCGTTGAATTAAAGAGTATGTCAGACAACACGCAGAGGAGTGTCAGAGGAGGCCATGTTTTAGGAGCGAGCAGACGTGGCAGCAGAGGAAGGGGTCGAGGCAGCACTAGTCGCAGCCAGAGGCCAGTGCTCCCGGTGTCATCCAGCGGTCGTGTCTCCACCGACAACCCTGCCGTCATCGATTGGTTGGCTCGGTCGTCTTCCTCTTCCCAGGTCACCTCTGACACCTACAGCCAACGGTCGGTGGGTACGTCAGACACAACCGTTAGTTGGCATGGCCCGGGAGCAAGCCCACTGAAATCACGTGTCCTCTACCTGCCCCTGTCCTTTGGTGTTCCCTCACCAAGCGAAGTATCGCATGCTGTGGGCTCAGCCCCACTGTACAGTGAGGAAGAGCAAACAGAGGGCGGTCAGGAACGGGGGGAGACATCCGCCTCTTCAGCAGCCAGGCGAAGAAGTACTGGCGAGGAGAGAGTGGCTCGGTAGCCGGTCTAGAGACAGGTCTGTCTCTGACCCACACGCAGCCGAGGGGGCTAGTAGTGAGGCGGAGACCCTAATTGATGATGATGAGGCTGATCGCACTTGGCAGCCTCGTCGTCATCAGGCTATTTCTTCCGCATCATCAGGAGAAGAGGGTGCCAGCTTGGCAGCGAGCAAAACAGTCGGTGGGTTGCCCAGGAGGCAGCAGGGTCGCAGCAGTGTCAGTGGAGGCAAACGGCCACGGAGTAGAGCACCAGCTCCACTGCAGCCTACCACCACGGCCAGTAGTGGTGCCGGTGTGCACGGAGGAAGTAGCAGTCAGCCAGTGAGGAGTAGCGGGGGCAAAGTTTCCTACTCGGCGGTGTGGCAATTTTTCGTCAAGCCGCCCGAGGAAGTAAAACGTAGCCGTATGTCGACTATGTGGCCAGAAAGTCAAGCGTGGCCAGGGGGCCCATGTTGGGACTACAGCGTTGCGTCAGCATATGCAGCGTCGCCATTCGGTGGCCTGGGAAAACCGTGATAAAGATACGGCGGTTCTGCCTGCCCCAGCCCCCGCTCCATCACCCGCTCCGTTACTTGCTCCGTCACACCGACGTCAATCGCCCTCTATCAGCCAGTCAAGGCTCCAACACCTCTGCTGAGGGGAGTTGTCGCTCGTTGGCATCTTCCGCTCGTTCAGATGCTCCTTCTCCTGCTACTCCTCTTCACGGATTCCGTCAGCAGTCTTTCTTGGAATCCGTTTCCAAGAGACAACAGTTTGCGAGCACGCACCCGACGGTGCAGAAGCTGAACGTCCTCCTGTCCAAGTTGCTGGTGCTGCAGTCCCTCCCTTTCCAAGTGGTGGACTCAGCACCTTTCCGAGAAATGATGGCTAGTGCCGCGCCGCGGTGGAGAGTGCCAAGCCGGCATTTCTTCGCCAAAAAGGCAGTGCCAGCCCTGCATTTCACATGTAGAAGAGATGGTGGGCCAGTCTTTGAGCATGTCGGTCTCTGCCAAAGTGCACGGCAGCGCCGACGTGTGGAGCTGTAACTACGGTCAGGGACAGTACATGTCATTTACGGCCCACTGGGTGAACGTGGTGCCGGCACAGCCGCACCAGCAACTTGGACAGGTCACGCCGCTTTTGCCTCCACGTTTGCACGTCCTTGGGTCCAGCAAAGATGTCCGCCTCTA